CGTGAGGGGGGCACGCACCGGAGACGCGGGCCGCCTCTTTGGACATGCCAGAACACCACCCCGCATGTATGAGGGCACGGTACGACGCTCCGGTGGCATTGCTACCCCCCAGGGGGCCCCCGTCCCGCCTAACCCTAGAGCGGTTGACCACGAGATCTAGCCCTTTGACTTCCCACGGACGGGCTTTGACCAGTGGACCTCTCCACCCGGTTGTGTCAGGTCCGCCCATAGGGACACCCGGGAGCAACATCCGGGCCAAACCCACAGATACATCCACTCCATGTAGACCCCGACGCGTCCGTTCCCCCCCTCCAGGTGTCGGCAGCGGCGCCGTCCGTGACGGGGCCACACCCCGGAGATGCATGTCGCCTCTTCGGACATGCCATAACACCATCCGGTTGTGGTAGGTCATCCGATATATATAAACACTTGGAGCAAAGTCCCCTTCGTATAGACCCGATGCGGCTGTTCCCCATTCCAGTTGCCGGCTGGCGGCGGCACCGTTCGTGAGGGGGGTCACACCGCCCTGTACAGAACCGAAAAATAATGTATGTATGCTTATTAACACATAATGTATGAGTTAGTTAAATAATAATATTAAAGAAAACAGTGAAGAAAAAGAAAAAAAACTATATGTATGCTTATTAACACATACTATATGCTTATTAACATACTATATGCTTATTAACACATACTATATGTATGCTTATTAACACAATCTATATGTATGCTTGTTAACACATACTGTATGTTTAATAATAATAATAATATTACATGGAAAAAAAGAGAAAAAAGAAAAAAAAACTATGCCGACGACAAAGCCGTCGGCATAGGTGCGGCCAGGGTAGATGGACAGCGCCGCGGATCGATGACGTGTCAGCTATGCCGACGGCTGCCGTGGCATAGCTCCTGGTCGGTGCGCTCTGGATCGGTGACGTGTCACCCGTATCTATGCCGACGGCCACCCGTCACGGCCGTCGGCATAGATTTGACGTCGTTAGCCGGCCGTGATGGCAGTTGTCAGCAGGCCCGCATCTATGCCGACGGCCTATATATGCCGATGGCAGCTGTAGGCGTAGTCTGGGATAAGCCGACGGCTGTGATGTGCCGACGGCTTCTGTCGGCATAGACGCGGATAGCCCGACGGCCTTTGTACGCCGACGGCCAGGAGCTAGCTGTCGGCATAGCTCGGACTAGGCCGACGGTAGCCGTCGGCATATATTTGGCTGTCGACTTAGAGCCCTGTTCCGGTAGCTGCTTCTACGGTCCAAAGGCACCCATAATTTAAAGTTTTTGTCTGCGAAAACACACACACACACACACACACACACACACACACACACACACACACACTGATTATGCCGAACTTGAATTTGCAATTGGCATGCAAGGGTTTTTTCCAATGACTCGTCCATGAAGGCCAGCAGCGGGCAAGTACCTACACAAATAAAAAGACATTAAGGTTCGGTTAGATACAACTTTGAAGAGCATGCTTTGCCAGCGATCAGTGGTTAAAATTTGCCAGCTAAAAGATTGATTAAAATAGTGTGTTTTTTCCACCCCCAATGCAAACAGAATGAGATAAGATAACAAATGATTTCTTCATGAAGTTGTTTACGGCACAGGACAATCTCCTGTACAACCTTCAAATTTGAGTTAAAACATGTTGAATCTAAACTATGTTAAAAAGGAAGATGTTTACCTCTCTCAGGCCCAGCTCAAGAAACTTACGAGACTGGCATGGCTTCTTTTCGCATGATAGGGTAAGTGCCTACAACAAATAAAAACATCACAATTAGAGCAGATGTATCTTTGGCTCCTGCAAAAATATGACTTAAAATAGAGACATGTTTACCTTCCACAATGTCTTCTCCAAGATCCGATACAATTGCAGTCAAGTTTCTAGTTCTCCGGCGATGTTTGATGGCATCAAATATTTTCACCTATAAAGCAATCCATAGAATTAACATACCGAACCATCTTTTTCATAGTGCTATGGTCGGCATGAATTAAGTTATTCATAGTTACAATATAGAATTTACTTACGGAGACATCTTTTTCAGCATATAACTCTTTTCCTTGATCAAAATGATCCCAGCATATGTCTATCAACATCTGCTCCAACTGGCGAAATTGCAAAAGTCAAGAGTGTCACATAGCCCTCGCGCCTCTCCCTCTCCCTCACACAAGATTCTTTCTTATTCTGTGATTTTTGAAATACAAGATGCCTACAACTCTAAAGGTCTTTCATAAAGAAAACTTGTTATGTGATTTTTGAAATATATAATGTCTACAACTATAAAGATATTTCATATAAAAAGCACCTCCGCTAATCTAGCAGACTATAATCCATACTTCAAACTCTGTAATATCAAATGAACAATATTATATGCTCCCTTTGAAGGAACATACTACATATACTCCCTCCGTTTCTTTTTAGTCTGCATATAACTTCTGTCTGAAGTCAAAGTATCTTTACTTTGACCAAAGTTATTGAAAAAAGTATCAACATTTACAAGGCTAAAGGGATATCTTTAAATTCATTATGGAATTTAGTTTCATATTATGTATATTTGATATTGTACATGTTGATATATTTTTACATAAATTTGGTTAAAGTTGGTGAAGTTTGACTCGACACAAATTTTATATCCGGAGTAAAAAGGAACGGAGGGAGTACTATCAAATGAATGACAGTTATGTATACACTTGTCATTATCAACAGAGTATCCTATACTTCGTGATGCATATGCATACTCCTTTCTTGAATTAATAGTACATATACCAGATACTCCAGCTAGATGTACAATTCTATATATTTACACCCTAAGTAATATATACTCTTTGTAAATCTATATATGTACATATCCGACACCGACACCGCCGCCGCCGCCACCCCCGTTCCGATCGCGCCTCCGCCGCCATGACGAGCGCCGCCACCTCCAGCTCCACCACCGCTGGGTTCCTGCGAGCCTCTCTCGCGGCTCTCCTTTCCCGGCCCCTGGATGCCGCCGCGGTCCAATCGCCAATCGGGACCAGGAGCATCGGCTCCCTTTTCGCCACTTAACCTCTGGCTGCCTCATCGCTAGTGCACGTGCTGACGGTTCACACCACTGCCTCATCGCCCGCCTCTCTCGCCGCCGCCGTCCTGCCTCCTCCGATGGTGGAGCCCGCGTCGGCCTGGATGGCCGGGCTCTCTGCCTCAGGCCCGGCGGCGGTGCACTCCGCTCCTGCGGCGTCCGCGTCCCTCGCCGCGTCCACGATGGTGCCCCCTACCTCCACGGCGTATCCGCCTCAGGCAGCCTACTCCACGGGCTCGCTCCCGCCGCCGCCGTTTCAGTTCGGCAATCTCATCACCATCAAGTTGTCGTCGGACAACTACATCTTCTGGCGTGCGCAGGTCCTTCCGCTCCTTGGGAGCCACTACCTGCTTGGCTAAATCGATGGCTCCCTCCCCTGTCCCCCTGCGCTGAAAGTTGATCTATCCAACCATTGATGTTGAAAGTTGATCTATCCAAGCATGAATCAAGAAGGTGCTTCAACTCGCACATCATTATTTAAATTATTTAACTAGGAAAACAAAATTACTTGCTACCGATTATAGGATGTGGGAGATTAATCTAAGGTGGATTAGAGATTAACTAAACCTGAATGTACTAAAAATATAAAATACAGTAAATACACAATATACACACCTCAATTGTAGTAGAAATGTACTTTCCATTAAAGCTTTCAATAACATCACCCTCACGAATTCCAATTTTCTCAGCATTAGATCCTTTAGACACCTATTTTAAATTAGCATTGTTACATCATAATATGCATGTGAGAAACGGCTTTAGATGGAACTATTAACAAAAGTGGAAAAAATAAAAGAAAAATAAGCACCATAATATATATACCTGCTCAACAATAAGACCGGACTCGATGTTATGATTACGAGTCATTCTCTCAATACAGCTAGGATCTAAATGTTTTATTGAAGTAAACGTCATTCCAAGATGGAGGCGAGGCATACAACTACACCAAATAAAACGGAGATCAAATAAGTATCACGCAAATGCAAGAAAAAACATTATTAGTGCTATTATCCTTACAAGACATTAGAATCACAAGAGTACTAACACAGAATAGAGGAGATAATGAGTGAATACATACTTGAATCTTCTCCAAAAATCCAAGCACTTGTGCAATAAGAACGAAGGTATGAATGTCTCCTTAATATGGTTGTTAACTAGACCCACAACTTTCCCTTCTAAATCAATGATGGGTCCTCCATCATCACGAAGCTATATCATTGCAGTAGTGACAAATATTTCAATTTGTAATAATAAAATAGCAAGATTGAAATACAAAGCATAAATTGAGATATAACGCACCAGTGAGGGACTAGATGGATCACAAGACAAATACATATAGTGACATCTCTCATACCAGGATGGAATATTATAAGCCACCATACCATGAGTTGTACTAAGATTCAGATTTTCATCTCTCCCGAGTCTGAAAACATCTTGACCAGAACGCACGCACTCGGTAAAAGTAGCCAACTGAACTGGTTTGTCCACTTGAACCTTATAAATAGCAAATTCATAATGCTCCTGGAGATAGAGGAGGCTGGCAGGCACAGCTGTGTTGTCCAGCAAGTGAACAATGACCTAAAACGGCGATGTCAAAAGTTATCACACTTCATTTTTGACAGAACTTATATTGACAAAAACATTTTTGGGAGATGCACCATTATGAAAATCAAACGCCAGAAACTAGTTCACATTTTCTATTCTAGCAAAGTTGAAGATGATGTCACATTTTATTAGCAATTAGCCTACATTTGACAACAGATACATTACAAATAATTTAATTTGAGAGGGAAGAAACAAACAAATAAAAAAAAACAATAGTTGAAATGTGTTTTTCCTTGTCCAGTAGTGCAAGGCTCACCACCCAAATCTCAATCAAAAAGGAAACTAATGAAACATGCATTGTGTAGGTCCGGGTAGAATCATTCGGTGACAAGATTATAAAGAGACAAGTGAATGTTAAAAAGGATAAGGAGCACCTTAGCCTGACGATGATAATTGCCTGTCCACTGCACCTTCCACTCGAATGGGTTTTTTGGTTCTTTCTTTTCACGAATGAGCTGAGCGGATGTCAAAACAAGGGCGGTTTTGCTATGATCGTCGCTTTCAAACCATAAACCAGAACACTTGTTCAGTGGGTCACTCTCTGCAAATGAACCAAAAGTCATAAATATTTGGCCAGATATGAAATCAGATACTATTAGTTTAGAAGCAATTAGGATGTTAAATACACACCGACAAATGATGAGAGCAAAATCACAGATTTAGCAGCAAGAAGTGTTGCATCCCTTGCTTGTTCAAGAATAGGAAGCAATCGATGGGTCTTGAACAGGGAGGAGGGTGCTTTATAGCAGTGATGCTCCATAGTGAAGAGGTTAGCTCGACGATCTATGCAAGGAAAATTAAGATTAGGTTGGAAATTAACGATGAGAAGAAAGAATCGGGGAGGGGAGGGGCGTTTACCCCGTTCTGCTTCGTACTTAGCCTTGGCGTCCTCGAAGTCAGCGAGTACGTCCAGATCATCAACTAGCTCGTCGGGAATGTAGGGTTGGTAGATCGGGGGGCTGAGTGGATCGGAGGATTCCTCCGCCACGGACTCGACCACATCGTACACACGATCTAGGGAAAGATCGACAGCATGAACAAGTAAACACCAATCTGTCATGACGACCAAAGGAGGAAAAGAGGGGGCAAAATCACCTTGTTTTGCTTCCGATTGGGCTTTGTTGGGCTCGAAGATCGCCAAGTGTATCTCTGGATGGGAAGTCCGAACAGCTAGCTCGCCCGGAGATCTAGGGCTTGTGGAGTGGAGAGCTGTCCCCTGCCCCTCCTCTGCCACGCTTCGCCTCTTCGCTTCCCGCTCCGTCGTCTCCAGCTCGTCGCCGCGGATCCTGACGGCCCTCGACATCTCTCTCACCTCCGCCGCCGCCGCCGCTGCCTCTGCACCGGAGAGGCCGGAATACGGTTTGGCGATCGAGGGGAGGGACTCGCGTCCGCGTCTACGGGTGGGTCCGTCTGGGATTTTTTTTTCAAAACAAACGAGCACGCATATATATTCTTCTAATTATAATTGCCTCTTTACACCTTGTATAATCATCCCATAGAAATAAGTGTCTGATTATTTTTCTTAATTAATCATGATTCGAAATAATAATAATAAATAGTCAATAGAAAAATCATAAGAGTTCATCCCCGACCACTCTGTTTTGTGGTCTTTGTAGGTGTATTAGCATGTTCATCGATAATTCAACCCGGAGCCCGGGCTTAGATGAGCCCGGCGAACAGCAGCGCGATTTAAGTGGTCTTTTTTTTCTGAAAAAACTTCCAATCTATTCATCTTCAATCATGGCAGTACAACGAATAACAGAAATAAAAATTACATCCAGATTCATAGACCACCTAGCGACGACTACAAGCACCGAAGCGAGCCGAAGGCGCGCCGCCGTCATCGCCCCTCCATCACCGGCTCCGGGCACAACTTGTTGTAGTAGACAGTCGGGAAGTCATCGTGCTAAGGCCCCATATATAGGACCGGCACCCCAGAACAGTAACCGCCGCCGATGAAAAATAACGTAGATTAGAAGGATCCAAACCGAAGACACACGAACGTAGACGAACAACGACGAGATCCCAGCAAATCCACCAAAGATAGATCGGACGGAGACACACCGCCACACGCCCACCAACGATGCTAGACGCACCGCCTGAACGGAGCTAGATGGGGAGACCTTTATTTCATCTTCAGGGAGCCGCCGCCGTCTCGCCTTTCTGAGTAGGACACAAACCCTAACAAGATTGAAAAAAAACGAATAAAAATGGAGCCCTCCCGCCGGCCCTTGCCAGGATCCACCGCGCCTCCATGGCCCTAGGGCCATCGGAGACGAGGCGGACCTGCGCCGGCGCCGGCGAGAGGCACAAACCCTAACTTTCTTTTTTGGAGGAGGAGATTTAAGTGGTCTTTATAGGTGTATCAGCATGTTTATAGACTTGACAAATAAATAAGGACGGAAAAGTTCTATGCATCATATTCAGGACATATGGAGTGTTTGATGTTTGGACATTTGTCAACTTGTCTGAATTGAAAAACCAACACCACAGGTGCATCGACGTTGTTCACGTGATTCCAACGAGCCCAAAAACGCCAAAATCAATGTTCATATAAAAAATAAGCAGAAAAAATACTAAAGCTCTCGGAGGTCCTAGGTCCAGATTTTCATTTAGATATATTAAAACTGAGCACCCTCCCAGCCCTCTCAGGCCATTAGCATGTCTAGACGTTAGATCGCCACTTTTAGTCGTTTTTGGCCGTCGGATCGCTGTTAGTCACACCTAAATCTCGTACGCAGGCGCAAATTCGCGCTTCAGTCTGCACTGGGCTTTTCGAGCAGCTGCTCCGGGCGCTTTTTGCCATGTCTGACATTCAATTGGGCCTACCGGCCTACCTGGGCCTTTTCTATCATCGTGACCTTCTCTACCGTCCTATCCAACACAGCGCGCACAGGGAAAACGCCACACACGAGCCCTAAACCACGTTCGCCACCTACTATGTTTCGACTGCGCCGCCTGACATGGCCTCGGAGTGCATTGGCGGCTGCACGCCGACGCGAGCGGCGCGGCCGGATAGGGCAACAAAAAAAAAACAATTCGATTGCTGCCCATTAGGCTAACCTCCACCGGCCCCAGGTCACTATGATCGATCCAGGCGAGAGAGAGATGGCAGTCTATCCAGCCGCCGCGGGCGATGCGGGCAACGAGGGATAAGTCGATCCAGCCAACACAGGCGATTATTCTGCTACAGAATGGAGAAAGGAGGGAGATGATCCAGCCGACGCAGGCGATTCATGCCGATGCTTCGTCTGATCAGAACTGCTCCATCAAGATTTCAAGATGTGGTCATTCTTCAGTTTCTGTTCTGACATTCATGGCGGATGATGGTACGTGTATATATGCTTCCTCCACTACAACTCTTCGCTCAACCTTTGCGCCCCAGCAGCAGAACCTCCTTCACCATGATGCTCGGATAGGTTTCCCTATATTTCTTTTCAATTCATGTATGATTCACTCTTCCACCAAGCAATTGCCTTGTCCTGATGCCCTCTTATTCTAGAAAAAATTACATACAGATGATGTTCATGTTGGCTGTTGTCAACTCATTTCGGTAGATCTTGGAGCTTTCTGATCTGTTTATTTGATTTTGGATTGCCGGGTGGTCAGAACCAAAAGAAGAGACATACTGATAAGGCGTATCTTCTGTAACAGACGTGTGATGTTTACTTCTGTATACTGTTTCAGATCTGGAGCCAGAACAATATTTTGCATGGCCAGGTAATCAGAACCAAAAGAAGAGACGTACTGATAATGTGTATCTTCTGTAACAGATGTATGGTGTTTACTTTCGTATAGTGTTTCAGATTTGGAACCGGAACAATATGTTTTGTCTTTGGTTACAGACTTACAGGTACACTCTTCTTTTTTTCCTTCAATTTGTTATTTCTCCTTTGTATTCCAGTTTATGTTATGGTGTCCCTGAGATTCTGATATTCATTTCATTTACTTTATTTTGCGAAGGACGTGCCAATGGTCTTCTGGAATTTTAATTAGCAAGGGCAGCCTTGAAGGTACTCGGATGATCTTAACTTGTGGCTCTTTTTTTTCTTTTTGCTTGACTGCAGTATCTTCCCATTTCTTCTGCCATAATCAGATATCATTCTAGAGAGCTTGTCAAAGAAAATATACCATGAGCTAATGAAAAGTATTCAAATGCCTATATACTGACCACATTCGGACATTTACCCTTGTAGAAATTAGAGTCTCCTTACTGAAGCTTGGCAATAACATTACTAAATGAAGGTACTCGGATGATCTTAACTTGTGGCTCTTTTTTTCTTTTTGCTTGACTGCAGTATCTTCCCATTTCTTCTGCCATAATCAGATATCATTCTAGAGAGCTTGTCAAAGAAAATATACCATGAGCTAATGAAAAGTATTCAAATGCCTATATACTGACCACATTCGGACATTTACCCTTTTAGAAATTAGAGTCTCCTTACTGAAGCTTGGCAATAACATTACTAAATGAAGGTACTCGGATGATCTTAACTTGTGGCTCTTTTTTTCTTTTTGCTTGACTGCAGTATCTTCCCATTTCTTCTGCCATAATCAGATATCATTCTAGAGAGCTTGTCAAAGAAAATATACCATGAGCTAATGAAAAGTATTCAAATGCCTATATACTGACCACATTCGGACATTTACCCTTGTAGAAATTAGAGTCTGCTTACTGAAGCTTGGCAATAACATTACTAAATGAAGGTACTCGGATGATCTTAACTTGTGGCTCTTTTTTCTTTTTGCTTGACCGCAGTATCTTCTCATTTCTTCTGCCATAATCAAAGATTATTCTAGAGAGCTTGTCAAAGAAATAAACCATGGGCTAATGGAAAGTATATGAATGCCTATATACTGACCACATCGGGACATTTACCCTTAAAGAGATTAGGGTCTGTTTACTTAAGCTTGGCACCAACATTGCTAAATTAGAAATAAGACAAATGGTGGACCTTGTTTGTCATTCTCAATCTTTTCTATTACTAATAATTTTCGATAATTATTAATTGTGGAATAGCTACCAGTGCATCTGTAATGAATCATCAATTGCCATGAAATTACTAATAATGGTCAGGACCTTGAATTTCCTGCCATACCGCGTTAATTTCTTTTATGGTGGCTACTTATGCTATTTTCACTAGAGAGGATGCTTCATGCAGTGGCGGAGCTAGAGGGTGGACAGGGTGGGATGTATTACATATGCCTTCACATGTCACCTACACCAGCAATGATAATATATGTTCCATACAGAATATGTGTGAACAACATGAACGGTAGTAGATATGTGACTGTGCTTAGTTGAAAGCGATGTCCATTTTTTTTAAACGATTCCCTCCTCAAGTCTCCCTAGATACTCTATGTTCCCGTGTCTATTCGTTTCTTACTACTATCATTAAATAAAAACTATAGCTAGAATTGCCCAAGTACAATTTATGTTTTAGTTATGGTTTATGCATCTTGGCCTTGTTTTGAACATTCAAGCGATAGAGGCAGAGTATGTTTTGTAAGAAAAAGGATTGTCATCATAAGAGTTGAGTAGTCGGGAGAGCGACCAGTGAGACACTCCATAGGAATACCACCCTGAAGAGCAGTCGATGGCTGAATGTTGATGAGATAGGTGGATGCGGAAACAGCCTCAGCCCAGAAATGGGGTGGAAGAGAAGCAGCAATCATTAGCGCACGAGCCATCTCAAGCAAATGACGATGCTTGCGTTCGGCAACGCCATTCTGATCATGAGCCCCAGGACATGAGAACTGGGCAAGAGTACCCTGTTCCGCTAGAAAACCACGCAACAGCTGAGAGATATACTCCCCAGCAGAGTCAGCACGAAAAGTACGAATGGACGTGGCAAACTGAGTGTGAACCATGGCAGCAAAACGTTTGTATATAGAGAGAACCTCGCTACGAGATTTCATGAAGTAGAGCCAAGTGTAGCAAGAGAAATCATCAATAAACAAAACATAGTAGCGATGACCACCTTTCGAATCAAAGGGAGCAGGACCCCAGACATCAGAATGAACTAAGTCAAACGGATGCTGAGATACTGACTCACTAGTAGGATAAGGTAACTGAGTCTGTTTGCCAAGTCTGCAACCATTACAATGTAAGGAGACATCTCCAGATACAGACCCTAAGAGGCCCTGACGAACTAAAGAAGACAAACGAGAGCCACAGATGTGACCAAGGCGATGATGCCACTGCTGGAAGGACGTAGACGAAGAAGCAGCAAGAGCATGGGAGCTGGCAGAAGTGGTGGCAGCGGAAGGAACACAAAGCCAGTCAACCTCCCAAAGGCCCTC